CCTTCTTCTAAATTCAAACCCCAACCGCCGCCGCCAGCCTCCTCCCCATTGGCCACCCCCTTCACCACGCCCTGCCTGATTGGTTCCGCCCCGAGCCCGCCCTGCCGCACCGCTGCATCATGGGAATTATAGTCTCCCTCAGGCGGCTGGCGCCCCGCCTTCTGACAGGGAGAAATACAGAATGAATGTTATTATTAATGACCTTATAATTAATCTCATCTAAAAGGCAGCTCTCACCACAAGGAACGTTCCTGCGTCCTCCTTTTCCTGCTCGAATGTGCTCCCATCGCTTCCCTTGGCCAGCCCTGGTGCTCGTCTTACCTGGCAGTGGCTCTGCTAATGATCGAAATCTGCTGATTTCTCCAGGTTATTTCTCTGACAGAAAAACCAAAAATAATTCTATTTTCTCTGAAGGGAGCACGCCTTTCAGCATGCAACTAGCCATTAGCTCAGCTTTGTTGTCACAGAAAGCCTCACTTTTCAGGTATGCCTGTCAAACGCAGCGTTTGAGACCCCAAACTGGCTCCAAGAGGATACTTTATTTACATGGTATAGTCATGTCCTCAGAGTTAGCAACCTAATAACATGGCTGCAGTGCTTTAACAGCTCCCCGTGCTAGTTTCAAGCTGTTCTTCAGCATTGGCTTGTGTTCTGTAGGCTAACTGAAATGTGTTAGGACTAGTTGTTTACCTCTCTTTAAGTAAAAGTTGAGATCTTAATAAAATTCAGTATCTTTGGGGTCTTAAATGTACAGACATCTTGCTCCCTTCTGCATTCTATGTCTGTAAAAACTGAAATAGGAGGCAGCTGAAAAAAAAATTGCCTTAGACATGGACAGAAATTTCCTGTGAGTAATATAGATTAGCTGCCTGCTATTATTGGAAAGGCAATCAATAAAAAAAAAATATTTCTCATAAAGCAAATTGAATATTTCACAAGTAAAAACTGATTTTTTTCTTCACAACTGACCTTAATGAATCACAGACTCTGAAGGCATTTGTGATGCCTGTTGAGTTATGAAACTTTGATACTCATGGATGAAATGTAATAATCACCCTTCACTGTTTCGATATTCCGTAGCATTCATATGATATCAATAAAAGGCATGAGTGCGAGTGCACTCTTGTGAGTGCAAGTACGCAAAGTAAACACAAAAAAAAACCCAAACAAAGGATAATCACAGCCAGTTATTTGGGTGGTTGGTTGGGGGTTTTTTGAGAAAAGGTGCCTATATTAAAGGCAAGCTGTGATCATGTTGTTGATGGGTGATTGCTTCTTCACTACATGGGCAAGAAATTAATGGCATACCTAAAAGGGATATATGGCCTTATATCCCCCTAATAAATCTGTTACTTTTCTACCTGAACAGTTAACATGCTTATGCTACAATAAGAAACATGAAGTATGCATCAAGATACATAAATGCAAGCATAATATCGAGTATAATATGGTCTCTTAAATTTTTCAGCTATTCCATTAATACTTATCATACTAGTGTTTATCTCAACTTACACAAAAGCAAGGTGAAAAACAGAACTGCAATCTCTATCAGTCATTACAGCAATCTCTCTGTGCCTTCTTTAACATAAATTAGATATTGTATGCCATTGTGGGAATGAATGGCCTCCACACAAGTTGTCACAGACCTGCTTGTGCTCTTACAACAATAGCATAACTGAACTTTCAATGTCTAAGGTCTTGTTCACGAACGAAAACTCAGATGTGCCCAGAGTAATGACAAAAGCCTCTTTCTCATTCTTGCTGGGCTCCTCCAAGTGATCTCTTAATCTCTTGACCTTTCTGTTTCTACAGACATGGAGTATTTTAACACAATGCCTGAAAGCATTAACCCATCTTTATTAGTACTCCACATGCAAGGGACAATATAGGGTGCTTCAGAAATGTGGTACAATGCAGTAACTCAAGGGCTGGGTAACAGAGCTGACACTGCTGGGTGCAAAAGAGACCACCAAAGGTTTAGCCTAAGATGGGTGCTTCGCAACATTCAGAAGCTAGGAAAATCCATTTCGTGCTGAGATCTTTGTGAGAGTGCAATGACTTTTTCTCTAACACATCTTTTGTTTGACGTGTTACAGGAGTACTCCAAGACCTTCATCTCATGGAGTTTCAGAGAGGACTCACCCATGTTATTACCACCACTTTCCAAGCTTGAGAACAGACTGTTATCTAAGCTGTTTGAAGAGGAAAAGAAAAGGAATGAAAGCAGAGACCTTGGGCAGCTCTTGGGGACAAGGTACAACACATTAAGATATAACATGTTTAGACTGCATGCTAAATCCTTGTTGTTCTAAGACTATTACTTAAATCTGAATTTCTATCCTTCCACCTACATTTTTCTGCAGGACTTTCATATGATGAGTAAGTTTTATAATTTTATATGCTGTTTTAATTTTATATGTTTATAAAACTATGGAATTGTGTGGTGAGTCACCTGTTGTTGAATATTGCCCTGAATAAGATTTCTGAGAATATGTATCCTTTTTGATTTTCATTCTATTCCTCAGTTCTGGCTCAGATACAGAACCTTACATGTGTGCTGCAACATGTCGAGCTAGAAGAGATGAGAGCAATAACCCAAAGCTAAACCTAGTAATAAATGTTTAAATTTTATGAAAATACTGACTTTCTACAACAGCAACAGTCTTGGAGGACAGTCCTCTGAGTTTGAGTTGAATTAATTTTTTTTTTAATCATATATACACACAAGTCTTAGAACACAGTATTTTTATCTAGTCAGATAGTAGTGAAGGAAGTCTTGTGAAATCTTAAATGCAAGTTAGTGAGTTATGTGACTTTCTGATTTTATAATGTAAAATTTGACTGTGTTGAGCTACAAACAGGGGAAAGAGGCATTGGGAGAAGGTTTTAGGAGGAAAACTTCTTGCAAATATGGACAGAACAGGCAATTTTGATTGAGGAATGCAGATATCCTACCAAATCTTTGTGCTTGTTTGCAACTCTGCTTCAGCCACTGCCTTCAACACCACCATCTTTTGGATCATTCCCTCTTTTAGGAGCGAAAGATGGGACTGTACTCTCCAAAATACAATTTCTACCTAAGTGTTACTACTGGGTCACTGCTCTCCACAGGTCATTTCTGCAGCCTCAGTTTTTATTATAGTTCCAAATCTGTTCCTTTGAATCTATCTGGTGGACTGCTTTGTTTTTATTGATTGGATAAATTATGTATTTATAAAAACTAAAGGCCATAATTTGCATAAAGGCTGTGGCAATGAAGGCATGGACCCCGAGTTCATGCACAAGCACAAGCAGCATCGGGATCACTTTATTTTACGCTTTACATCCATCCCAAAACAAAGCCTCTACTTCTCTCTTATCACCTTGCTATCTGGCAAGCACTGAGTCCAAGCCTTATATGAAAACAAAGTTCATCTTGCAAGGTCCATTGATCGCAGCATTGACCTTGTTTTTCACAAGGTTGTGTGGTTGACACACCACAAGGACGGGATGGCATCCAGAGAGACCTGGATAGGCTGGAGAGGTGGGGTCATGGGAACCTCATGAGGGTCAACAAGGCCAAGTGCAAGGTCCTGCCCCTGGGTTGGGGTAACCCCCGGTATCAGTACAGGCTGGGGGAAGAAAGGATGGAGAGAAGCCCTGCCCAGAGGGACTTGGGGGTGCTGGGGGATGAAAAGCTGGCCATGAGCCGGCCATGGGCGCTGGCAGCCCAGAAGCCAACCCTACCCTGGGCTGCATCAGGAGAAGCGTGGCCAGCGTCGAGGGGGGGGATTCTGGCCCTCTGCTCCGCTCTGGGGGGGCCTCCCCTGGAGCCCTGCGTCCAGCTCTGGAGCCCTCAGCACCAGAAGGACATGGACCTGTTGGAGCGGGGCCAGAGGAGGGCTACTAAAATGCTCCGAGGGCTGGAGCCCCTCTGCTAGGAGGCCAGGCTGGGAGAGTTGGGGGTGTTCAGCCTGGAGAAGAGAAGGCTGCGGGCAGAGCTGATTATGGCCTTTCAGTACCTAAAGGGGGCCTATAGGAAAGGTGAGGAAAATCTCTGGATTATGTGATTGAATAGATCAGCGTTTATTATTGCTTTAGATAAATGCTGCATAGTTCTGCTGTCCTACGGTACAAAGAGAATCGGTCTCCAGTTATCTTCCATCCCTTCAAAATAAATCCAAGAGATGTGCGTGGCACTCTACTTAGCCACCTACCAAAGCCATTTTTCTCTTGGAGGCAAAAAAGGCAAAAGGATGCACTTCTTGTCAGCTGTGGTAATGAAAACTTGATGAAAATTGTGAGTTTATTCAGATCTACATGGGGACAGAATTTGGGCTAGCAGAAATGGATTTTCAGACACCTGGGAATTCTTGTGTTTGTGTTACTTCCTGAAGGTAAAATGTCTGTATTTTATTTGAGTTTTCAAATTCCCCACTGGCATCTGCTCATTTCAATTC